TGGTGGTGGTGGTGGTGGTGGTGGTGGTGGTGGTGGTGGTGGTGGTGATACAGTAAAAAACAACAACAAGGAGTTTAATTACCAGGGTGGGACTCAGCCAATTCATAACAGGATCTGAGACCAGGTGTCTTTGCCCAGTATCCACTCATGAAAACTTAGTACTTTAAGCTAGGGCTGGTTTTACCTATTCTGGGATTATATACTATGATACATCAATTTTTTTAAATCACCATTAACCCTTTATGTTTGAAATCAAATCAATTAAAAGCATATGGGGAGGGAAGAGGAAAGATGTGTTTTTAGGTTTCATAACTTAGTTAAAGAATAAAAACATATTAAAGATTTAAAATAACAGTTCCTAAAGGAACCCAAATTAATAGAAACTTCATAGCATTCATAGATAAATAAATAATAAGCTTAAAACCTCTATTAATGAAGACCATTCATCATGAAGTCCCAAATGATGTCTGTCATAGACCCCAGCAATATAATTAAACGAATCCATATAACCTTTCACAGTCTCCAATCTTATTGGGATATGGCCTAATAATTCTTACTTTAAACAGATAACAATATAAATATGATATAATAGTTTAATTGCAATTAGCTATTGTATTTTTATCATTTAAAAATAAGGAAAGTATGCACATGTGTGACCAAAGAAAATCAAGAAAGAAGTGTATTCTATTAAAACAGACAAGGAACCAGTCATTTTAGCCATCCAATTAATCAATAACAAATACCATGATCCAATCCAACATACAGTTATCTATATGGATAGTCAAAATCACTGAAATAATTGGTTTGTTTCAACTATGTTTCTGCATATTCATTTCAACCACTTAAGTCCTCTAAGAGCTGTTGCTGCTAGATATACAGGCTTTACCAGACCTTAGTGACAACTCTTCTAGATTAGCCCATGTTTTATATACAATGTAAAATAATATATTCTACATATTCTATACCATGTCTCTTTTGATTTCAAAATGAAAGAAGTCACTTCTGATTAATATGGCCACATGAAAGGTCCCAGGTAAGCACAGCTCCTCCAGAAGTTCTCCAGAAAAGTTCTATAAAAATGTACCAAAAGGAGTTGTAGTTGTAGTTGGTTTGTCCTTTGTTCTTGAAGAGGACCATGACATCAGGAAGATGATGACATGACTTGCAACTGAATTGGATTTAGTGAGGGAAGACTGTGCAAAGTCACCAGCCTCATTTTCTCCTTCAGAGTCATCTGGATCCAATGACCAAATATAGATCAAGATGAATACAGAGGGCCCTGGATGCAATGGGAGACCTTGGCCTTTTTAAGTTAAGATCTTTACCAGTTCTCACTTTGAGTGAGACAACACCCATTCAATGAATAGGCCTGTTTAAGAAGTGAGTCAAGGGATGGCCCCTTTAATCAATATGTGTGTTTCTATGCGTGTGTATGCATGTATGTATATGTGTGTGTGTGTGTGTATATATATGTATATATATACATATATATATGTATATGTGTGTGTATGTGTATATCTCAAACTTGGAGGAAGACCCTCAAGGTTACTGGCCAAAAGAGAAACAATTACTATTTACATTCACTAAGAGCCAGAAGGGCCTAAAAAATAACCATTCAGTGGTACCTGGGCAGGAACCTATTGTTGTCCAATCAATGAGAGCCAGAGTGAATTGGGTTTAAGGCATGATCTTTAAGAAAGAAATCTAGCCAGTAAACCTTAAAGTAGGTTTTAGTCATCAAAATTTACCTTCCTTGGGCAGAACACCCTCAGATAAGGGCATGATACCTCATGTGGGAAGAGGAGAGGACAGGATGTCCCCAAAGGAGTATGATGAGAGTGAGAGAGAGAGAGAGAGAGAGACAGACAGACAGACAGACAGACAGACAGACAGACAGACAGAGAGACAGAGAGGGAAAGAGAAGAGGGAGAGAGAGAGACAGAGAGGGAAAGAGAAGAGGGAGAGAGAGAGAGAGAAGGAGAGGGAGAGAGAATGAATTCTATAAGCTCCTTCATCTAGTCCAGGACTTCACAAGAAGGCTGTCAGAGGCTTTTGGACACAAGCCAAGCAAAGATACAGCTATAGCACCCAAGTAGCCTACTCCAGAGCCAAAGAAAATGGGGCCAATATAGCACCCGGATGGTGAAGGACTCAGGCAGCCTATGTTGGAGCCACAGCAAGAATAATATAGCACCTGGACTGTAATGTAGAAATTATTTTTCTACTTTATTTTTATATACATTTATTAGTTGTCCCTCTCATTTGTATTCCCTCAATAAAAATACAAATCATACCCTAATAACAAATATGCATAGTCTTGCAAAACAGATTTCCACATGGGTTATATCCAAAAGTAAGTGTTTCATTCTGTATTTCAGGTGCATCACCTACTTCAGATGCCAGTAGGTGGGTAGCATACTTTATCTCCTGGCATCATGGTTTACCATTGGATTGATTTGAGTTCTAAAGTCTTTCAAAGTTATTGTTGTTTTAATAATGTGATCGTTGAATAATTCCTGCAGTACAATGTTATTCTGCTATATTCACAATGAAAATTTATTTTTACCATTCTTCAATAAGTGGGTAGCTCCTTAGTTTCAATTTTGGGGAATGTTTGGAGGCATATTATTTTCCATTTTGGGCAATATGTCCTTATCTTCTTTCTTTGATCTCTTTGGGCTAGTAGTTAATATCACTGAGTCAAAGGGAATGGACAATTTAGTGAGTTTGAGGCATATTTCCAAATTGCTTTCCAGAATAGATTGCCCAATTCGTAGCTCCATCAACCATGCACTAGTTTGTGTACTTTTCTATAGCCCCTCCAACATTTGTCATTTTCCTCTTTTGTCATCTTTGACTATCTGATGGATCAAAAATTGAAATTTAAAATAAAGCATTAAGGTTCTTAGAAGAGATCTGATAATA